GGTGGCATCGGAGAGGAGCAAAGCCCGTTGGTGTAGCGTCCGTGCGAAAAGGTCATCAGTCAGTCAGAGAGCCGTCCTTTGAACAGCATCGAGCATGGGTAATGGGCGGTCGCACTCCAAACTTGAGAGAAGTATTCGAGGCAAGGTCTTATCTGGGCCCTGTTCAGACTGACTTATTAGCCCTAAACAAATAGCCTAGCTTTTTCCAGCAGTTGCAAATATTGACGAGATGTGTTCAGATCATGTCCTCGGTGATCTGAACTTCAATCAGCCGAAATCAACGGCTCTTTTGTAGAATCCGGCCATCTATTGAAACCAGATGAGTGCTAGGGTGCTTCTTGTTTGTGTTTTAAGCTGTACCAAAATGTTGCCTCCTCAAACAGTGACTTCCAAGTCTCTCGTCACAAAGGTAGTTGCTGCTAGTCTCCTCCAGTTCATCGGCAGAGATCGGTTTATCACACTGAATTTCTGCATGCAGAGTGCGTCATCAGCAAATCGGTGGGTCGGATTAATTGTCCATTTGTAATAGGAACAATGTCAAGCGAAGACACTGAGATAAAGTGACGACGGATATCTTTTGATAAGAGATCGTCATGTCTGGAATATCTGGATAGTAGCCTTAGCCATTAACGCCCGTAGGAATTTTTTTCAGACAGGGCTGGTCATTCCAAGAGATAACTTTTTGTGAACGTATACGACACACTTTTGGAATAGTGAGAGGTAACAAACTGGTCTCAGGGCTCTGAACACAAAATTATGCTAAATATGCAAATTCGAGGGTCCAACCAGACTCATAGGAGAGCCACGGCCTCCATTGGCAACTCCTACGAGCACCCATGGCCTTAGCGATAAGCTATTAGGTCACACCAGGTATTTATGAGATAGTCGCATCACTGTGGAATTTGATTGATCAATCTGACCATTAGATATCAGTGATTATAGCCACTACACTTTACCCGCTGAATATTCAAGATGTTATCTAACATAATATGTAATAACATCAAAGTTAACGGAAAAAATATTGTAGAAACAAAAAAAAAGTCACTCACCTTTTGAATTCAAATCTGTAAGTCAGTCAGGATATCTGTAACAAAAAAAATGGCGTCAAGTATGTTGAGTCTCATAAGTTCATAGATGATTATATTCTGCACAAGCTAGGGCCGTATTGTTAGTAGTTCCTACAATTTTAGTACGCCTTTATGGCCTCCATGTTTTTCATAGTATTTTCTCTCATTCAGAAAGGTTGGGGTATTTTTAGATTTCTACTGATCCGAGTCAGCTTCAGCGCTCTCCAATTGTGAGGTTGTTTTCTTTTTGAATCGTAAGCAATTTCAAGCTGATAAAACAGATGATAAAATACCAAGTTTTATCAGCCTGAAATTCCTTAAAATTCATAAAAATAATATAACCTGCCTTGCTGAAGGACAGGAAGAACTATGAAAATCAAGGAGGCCATAAAGGCGTCCTACAATTGTAGCAACGACTGACGATACGGCACTTACGACCCCCTGATAAAAACGTTAGCTTCGAATATATATAACAAAAACAAAAATGAAATGGTTTAATCAAACTGACACATACAAACAGGTTCATACATTGTGATCTGGAAATTTCTCATCACCTCCGACAGTGCCGACCATCTGGCAAAGTTGCTATGACTAATCCTCGCGAGCCAGCCAGCGGTCAGACCTCGACACAGGTATAGTGGACGACAGAGATATAGTTTACTTTTTTCTGTTATTTTATGGTACCGATACTGGTATAATATGATATAGGTCTAAATAATGACGAAAGGTGCTTCATCTGTATAAAGTATACATTCGAGCAATGTGTAATAACGTAAAGAGTACTAATAGTTCTTCCGCACCTCGACAAACAAGAAGGCGACTCCAACATATCCGCCATCTCGCTTTTACGGCTCTTTAACGACCGTCGGTGAAGAAATATATGTCTAATAGGTTTGTAGAATGACAGGGACTGGAAGAATATAAATATACTAAGTGACATATAAATCCGAACACCCAGTTTAAATGGTTTTATTTTAATAAAAATTGGTGAATGTACTTATCTTACTGTAAATAACAAGTGAAAAATTTTTCAGCCTTATCACTTGGACATTCCGGTTTTTATACTGCTTTTTTTTAATTCACTAACGCTCTAAAAATGAATATTTCAGCCGCAGTAAAGAATCAACGTTGGCGGATTTTGGTTCTTGACATCCTTTACGATCGGTTACGATGCCTAGAGTACGGAGACCTGAACGATTTCGTCAACTTAGTGAGTTTGATAGGGACCGTATAGTGGGACTTCGGGAAGCTGGACTTTCTTTTCGGGCAATTGCAGTTAGAGTGCAAAGACACTGTGGTTAGGTGTTGTCAGGCATGGCTTCGAGAAGGCCGTACGCAAAGAGCAAGGGGCACTGGACGCCGCCGTAGAACAACAGACCGTGAAGATCGCCGCCTAAGATTATTGGCCTTAAGGGACCGTTTCTCCACTACCAGGTCCATTGCAAATGAATGGTTTGCAGAACACGGAAGACCTATTGGCATGCGAAGTGTTTACCGACGAATGAGAAGTTTTGGCTTGTTTTCATACCGGCCACACTGGGTCCTCCCTTTAACTCGAGAACACCGACGTAATCGCCTTGAGTGGTGCAGACAACGGTCACTCTGGGATCAGGAATGGAACAGTATTGTCTTTAGTGACGCGTCTCGATTTTGTTTAGGCATGCACGATGGTCATGCCAAGGTTAGAAGGCGACGTGGTGAAAGGAGGAATCCACAGTTTTTTGTTGAAAGACATGTTCGTCACACTGTTGGAGTTATGGTTTGGAGTGCTATAGCTTATGGTTCCAGGTCAGCTTTAATCTTCATCAGAGGTAACATGAACGCGCAGCGTTATATCCACGAAGTTCTAGAACCCAATCTTTTACCCTATCTTGACACCCTGGCAGATCCTACTTTCCAACAAGATAATGCCCGACCACATGTTGCAAGAGTTACAATAGACTTCTTTCAACATAATGATGTCACATTGTTACCATGGCCACCAAGATCTCCCGACTTATCCCCAATTGAGCACGTGTGGGATATGATGGGTAGGAGATTGCTCAATTTGCAACGTCCTCCTCAGACTCTAGAAGCACTTCGAGGGGAGTTGGTGGTTGCCTGGAATGAGATACCACAGGAGGACATTGACCACCTGATCAGAAGCATGCCTAGGCGCGTTGGAGAATGCGTAGCACATCAGGGTGCATCCACACATTATTAAAGGTCAAAGGGCTTTAAAGCAGTGCAATCATTTTGAAATTTTTGTCATTTACTTATTATGCTTCATTAAGTACTTATACAAAATTTTATTAAAATAAAACCATTTAAACTGGGTGTTCGGATTTATATGTCACTTAGTATATACTCACGCCAAAAATTGTGATATCCCTCACATATCCCTACAAAACCCAACCCATTTAAACCCTACAATTTATTTTCTGAAAATGATCAGGAGTGTCTGGAACGACATAACAGGAAGTAAAGTACCTAGGTCGAATATGGCCAGCCTGTAAATATGGCTACATACCGTTTTCCCAAACACGAAAGTTTGTTATGAGCTGAACGCGACCCTAAATTGTCGCTAGTATCGCATGTATTCGAACGGCCTACCTGTCAGCCATCCGTGCAAGCGTTAGGGTACGAACATAGTGGAGCGACGAGGTTTCAGATTCAGATATCTGGTAGCGTCTAGAGCGTAGAGGCAAGAGGCACCTATGGTTATAGTAGAGCGTCGCGTTTTGTCGAAGATAGACGTAAAAATATGTATTCCGACAGTGACGATGACATTCTTCTCAATAATACTTACCTGCAAGTGCTTTTAATGACTGGAGTGCGGCAGTGTAGTGTGCACGACGTAAATAAAAGTCGGAAACGCCTAGGGGAATTCCATCATTTATTTCTAGAACTGAAAAATTATCCCGACAGGCTATTTGACTACATTCGAATGGAACTTGCCACCTTTCAGTATATATTAGAACAAGTTACACCCTGCATCAACAAGAAATGGACAAATTTTAATCAAGCGCCTATAGGAACCGAAGAAATGTTGGTGGTAACAATTCGGTAAGAGAATATTATGTATTAAGGATAATACTTTTATTATTCATAAACAAACAAACGGTAACGCAAAATAATATTCTGTCTTCTGAACACAACGAACGATAACTTATAATAACTTATAATGTTTACTGATCTGCGTAATTAAACCCCTGCAACAAATGGGATGAATGTGCAAACGATGTTTGTGGTTGAGATGTATATGTCGGGCTATGATTAACAGAATGACTGACATTGATGGTGGACTGATTGTTCGAGTACTCTTCATAGGCATACTTCTGAACCAAATTTTGAATTTCATTGCGGAACTGAAGTTTTCGATGAGGCCTAATTTTCACCACGTGGGGCAAAAGGCTATCAAAAAACAGTTTATCGTCATCTGTGACTGGTAGGGCTCTGCCACGGTCTGCAGCGACACGTTTCTCATCTAAATATTGTAGTTTTTTCTTCTCTATCTCAAGAAAAGCGTCAAGTTGATTTGACCGTTTTCGGGCCCTATTCTTTAGAATAGTTCGTGGTTCTTTTGGTGTGCTTTGAATTGGAGTGACTGATTCTGTGTGGTCGGGTTCTGTTTCCTGCGTTTCTACACCCTGCGTTTCGTCCATTTCGTCTTCGTCATAGTCACCATCATTTTCATCCATCTGCGTAGAGGGTGTCGAAACTTGTGTGTCATTGTCGGGATCCAACAGGTTGCTATGACTGGATCTCGGCAGAAACTGGTCTCTCAGAAACAATAAACTTTTGAAATGAGGCCAGGAGCTCTTTTTAAGAGCCTCTTCGCCTGGATCACCAGACCGGGGCAGAGGTATTTTCTTCAGTTCTTTTCTGAAATAATCACGTAGATTTTTCCACTTCTCAGAAACTTTCTTAACTGCAACAAACAAAAATTTTCAGATATCTTGCAACAGGAGCGTCCTTTAGACACTTGGCATTTTCCTTTCGAATGGGCAGGAGTACTGTTGCGAGCATTATAAAACATATGATTAAAATATTATGGAACATGCTGCAACCACTTCACATGCCAGAACCTACTACGGCAACATTTTTAAATGTAAGTGCAGACTTCATGAAAGTATGGAACTTCCCCAATTGCATCGGAGCTGTTGACGGCAAACACGTCAAAGTTATAGCACCACAACATTCCGGATCCATGTACTTCAATTATAAGCATTATTTTTCTATCGTCCTACAAGGAGTTTGCGACGCAAATTACAAATTGCTTGTGATAGATGTCGGAGGTTACGGCAAACAGAGCGATGGGGGAACGTTTCAGAGTTCCAATTTGTACAAACGGATACACCAAAACAAACTAAATGTGCCAAATCCAGATAGTTTACCAGGAACAAATGTCCGCGCTCCCTACGTATTTATTGCAGATGAAGCGTATCCACTAATGCCCAATTTGCTAAAACCATACAATCGAAGGAACCGCTCTTTGGAACATATAAATTTTAACCAAAGATTGTCCAGAGCACGCAAAACTATCGAGTGCACCTTTGGAATTATGTACGCGAAGTGGCGTCTTCTGTCCAAAGCTATAGAGACTACTGAAAAGACTGCGGATGATATCATTAAGGCGATATGCATTTTGCATAATACAATACTGGACCGAGAGGGATTTCAACGACATTTAACATTAGTAACTGATGCAGTTCCTAGAGATCAGATGTTTGAATTACCTAGAGGAAGGCAACTGGGTGAAGGTCAAAGAGTTCGCGACATTTTCTGTAACTATGTTAATTTCTTTCCAATCAGTTACGAGACAGCTTAAAATTTTACCGCAAGATGTAAGTTCTAGCTGTTGAAATGTGTATAAAATACAATTATTTACTTACCCGACTGATTATTGCATTCATTGGCTACCTCCTCCCATAACTTATCTAGCACGTATCGGTTGCGATGATCTGGATGACTCTGATCCCATATAGCCCTTCTGTGATATACACTATTTATTAATTGCACAACATCCATTATTAAATCGCTTGAAAACGCGTGACAAAAATTGAATGCAACTATTTAAAACTCGTCGCTCGAAACCTCCTAGAGACTCGACGCATGCCTTATCGCGCTACTATGGCCCGACAGGTTTCAACCTGTGTTTTTGACTCACATAGCGGCAAACCGCGCGGTTAGCCTCTATCTGAATCTGAAACCTCGTCGCTCCACTATGTTCGTACCCTTAGCCGCTCAGCCGTCATTATAGTGAAAAGCAGTGTTGAGGTTATAAAAACAGTAAGTAAGTATTGTCCTGTATTTTAACGTTTTTTTCATTATAAATCTTTATTATTCACATTACGATGTTGTGTAATAATTGTAGTTTCATATTTCTTTGTATATTTATCAAAGTAATAGAGTGTTTTTCATTCGTGAATATGAAAACAAAAAATTTGGATGACTGCAAATATGGCCACCGTTTGGCCATATTAACAGTACTTACTGAATTGCTGACACGTTTTTTTGTTTTTTGTTTTAGACCATGGCACGCTATAAATGTAAAGGGCTTCGAAGTAACTGGGCAGATGCTAATATGAAATTAGTTTTAGCTGCAGTCAGAAGTGGTAAAATGAAAATTTATACGGCTTCCAAGCATTATAATGTGCCAAGACGCACTCTGAGACGTTATTTACAAGAAAACAAAGAGACCACATCTACTTTGGGCCGGAAACCACTTCTTAACCCTGAAGATGAAAAGATTTTAGAATCCCGTATTATTCGTCTGTGTAATGTGTGATATCCATTAACACAGCGTGTCCTTCGTAGATGCGTGAAGACATTCTGTGATCAAAATAACATTCCAGCGCCAAGTGGAGGCTTGATGGTGGGACGAGATTGGCTGAGAGGATTTTTAAAACGTCATAGGAATATCAGTAGACGAAAAGCACAGAACCTAAACCCCGCAAGGGCACAAAAGCTGAATAAAGCAGTAGTTTCCGATTATTTTAGTAAATTGAAGAAAATCTTAGTAGAAAATGACCTTATGAACAAACCGGAACGTATCTATAATATTGACGAAAAAGGTTGCCAGCTTAATTTGCACAAATCACCAGAAGTTTTGGCTGAACGTGGATCCAAGAGAGTACATTTGGTAGCACCCGAACACGGCGAGAATGTAACAATAGTTTCATGTGGCAACGCTTTAGGCCATGTCATTCCGCCCATGATACTCTTTAAGGGCAAACGAATGAAGCCAGAATGGGTAGATTCGTTACCCACCGGTTCAGTAGCCCAAATGACACCCAAAGGCAGTATGAATTCTGAAACATTTGTGAACTGGACACACCATTTTGCAAAATTTAAATTGTCAGGACCTTGTTTACTTATCTTGGATGGAGCGAAGTGCCACTTAGACTATTCGATAGTTGAAGCAGCAGAACAATTCGACATCAAGCTTTTCTGTCTCCCGAGCAACACCACACATGAATTGCAGCCCATGGACAAATCAGTATTTCGTTCTTTTGAATATTACTGGGATGAAGAAGTTTTAAAATACTGGTCTATTCACGAGGACAGGAAAATAACCAAACAAAGGTTTGGGATATTATTTTCCAAAGTGTGGGATAAAGCTGCGACACCTGCTAATGTCAAAGCTGGATTTGAAGCGACCGGAATTTTCCCATTCAATCCAGATAGGATTCCAGAAGAAGTATACGCTCCCAGCATACCTACTCATAATTTCGCAGAACCTGGAGCTTCACCTTCTGAAAATCAAGAAAATGGAGATACTAACGACAGCGACGCTACAAATCTGTTAATTCCTCCTCAGGAAAATGAAGATACTAATGAAAGCGACGTTACTGATGCCAGTGGAAATTCTCCTTATCCTCTCCCAAATGAAGACAAAGGTAATTCAAATCCATTAAATGATTCCTCAGATTCACAGCCAAGCCAAGCAAAGCGTTGTGCTGCAACTCCAGACAACGCCTCTGATGATCATCCACAGCACCCAAATCAAGAAGATATATCGAACTTTATAGAACCCCTGCCAAGTGTTTATGACGATTACGACAGTAGCGATCACATTCCTTTGTCCAAACTAAAGCAACATAACAATAATATCGAGTCAAAAACTGAATTAAATGTAGTCTGCTCCACAACACTTAATGAGTCATATACATCTTTGTGTCAAATGTTAAAAACTCCAGAGAAAACGTCAAGCCCAAAAACTGCTCCGAGGGCAAAAGCTATCAATAGTCTCGCACAGGCGCTAACAAAATCAATGTTTACAGATAAAAATAACATGTCAGGGCCATCAAATGCTCCTAAACAAAAAATAGAAAATATACCAGGCCCATTTAAAGTGGCTTACCAAAAAAGAAAATATTCTGCTAAAAGGAACAACAGTGAAGCAGTAACTTCGAAGAAGGTTTCTAAACAGTCACGTGGTGAAGGACAATCTGAAAAATCTAAAGATTCATGGTACTGTTATGTTTGCAATGAGGACAGAATAGCAGACATGAGAATATGCTTTTTATGTGAAACATATGTCCATGAGGACTGTGTTGGATTAACAAAAGAAGATACAGATAAATTTGTATGCACTCGGTGCAGTCTGGACTAACCACGACGATGATAATGTACTGGATGTCGCCTAAACAATATCTTTTAAATAAAGTTGTATTAAAATCTAATGTCCATTTTTATTTCACTTATTTAGAAGTTATTTAAAATAATATATACCGTAAATATGGCCACATATATGGGCATATTTACCTACCCCGTCGGAAATATGGCCAAATTTAAATTTTTTTTCAAACTGTTGAAAATATTTCTATCATTTAATATCTTTGTATTTTTATGCCTTCATCATAAAGTTAAATATTCAGTCTTCATGGACAACTACTTTGACTTGTTTCTTTTATCTTTATTATTTTAGAAAAAAGTTAAGAAACCTTAAGGTGGCCATATTCGACCTAGGTACCTTACGATGGATTTTCGAAATGTACAATAGATGCCATATAACATGAATATATTACAACAAAGGGACACCCATAACAATGTTATCAAAATTATAGAAAACTATTTGCTCCTTCGACAAATACGTGGCAAAAACAATCATGCCAAAACAAAAATATACCACCAACGCTACGGAGTATCATAGGGATCTATCCTCGGACCTTACTTTTGAAGCATATAAGTTGTTGACCTGCCGGTAGAAAACATTGACAAACGATGTCACAATACGCAGATTATTTGTGCGCGCTAAATGAATCCAAACATCAACACACAGCCATCATGGGAGCAAAGTGGACAATTTCTCAATGCTTCCTCTCCAGTGGCGTGGGGATTAAAAAAAGCAATACTGCATCATCAGCGCCTGATGTTTTTCCGTAGTCCTTTTCCTCGACTAAAACCGTAGCATCGCGCATTAAGTCAGATCGTAAACAAATAGATACAGCACGAGAGCATAACAGTTTTTATATCTTATCTGGAATACCAGCTGGCGCCAATTTGCCAGATTTATTTTCACTGCGCTTAAAAACCCTTTCCATTAAATGAAATCGCTGCATTACCTGATGGTGTGGCATGCACATAAAAAGATCGTTCCAGACAAACACATGGAATGGTTGGAGTTTCACAGATGTGTTAGTACAGGATTATTGGTACCAGTAGCGTTCAGTCTAGAGGAGGGAGGGTGGTAAAATTATCAATTCTTAAAATTGCAGATATTTATTTTCAATATACACATTCAGTAGTAGGTAAGCTCCAAGAACACTTCAAACGAGTCCCCCCACTACCAGCTGTGTGTGTGTGTACTACACTGAGGTCACCGATGAAGAAGTGAAATCAATCATATCCAACCTTCCAAACAAACAATCGTGTGGTAGTGACGGCTTAACTACTCGTCTTATAAATAAAATGTTTTAACTGGAACTGCCGGCCCTCTCACTACTTGCATCAACGTGCCTGACTATCAAGGCAAGTTGATAAATAATTACTGCCCCATGTTACTATTCTCAGTTTTTTTCTAAGATAACTAAGAAAGAGATTAATTCAATAATGTTGGGATATGTTGACAACAGAAATACCTACTTATTAATTTGTATGTCTGATCTATAAACATCTTGATATGATTAAATGCATCATGGATATCTTCTTTGAACTATCAAAAGCTTTTGATACAATAGCCATTAGATTTTTTGAGAAAAAATATTTTCTTCAGGTGTAAGAGGCTTTAGATTGGGTAGTATTTTTCCTGTCTGACAGAAAATTCAAAGCAAAAGTCAATGGAATGACATCCGCAACGTACTGTATCGACATTGCAGCAACGCAAGGCTCAGTTTTGGCACCCCTTTTATTCATACTAAATATACGAGTATACTCGTATAAGTGATTTGCATCTCTCTGGATTTGTAGAAGACTATGCCGATGATGCCAGTTCTTGTCAGTGGAACTACACGCAGTGACCTGATTGCAAAAATTAATGAAGTGAAAGATTACATGAAAGAGTGGTGCTAAGCATCTCGTTTGATTTTAAACCTTGACAACTCTGATATTGTACATTCCTCTACAAGCGGCTCTGTTCTAGCGAATCATGAGACATCTGAAACTACGACATTCTTTTGAATACAGATGGATTCAAAACCCAATTGGCTTGGGTTGCATGGAACAGCAACTATGTTGAATGCCGCCTCCCTCATCAAATGAGTTTTTTTCCTTGTTATTCTTTTAACTAAAAAATAAAGACATACACACTATTATTATTATTATTATTATTATTATTATTATTATTATTATTATTATAACACACTGACAGTGTGTGTATTATGCAATTCTAAAGCTCAAGTTTTGCAGAATCAGCTTTACTAAATATGTATTTCTTATCTTGTCCACTCACATTTGACAAGTAACATTATAATCTGATGTCAATCAATTTGTAGAGAATTTGTTAAACAGAAGAGAATAATGAGATTGATATCCAAGTAAGAACATCATAACTCTACCAGGCATCATATTTATAACTGCGCCCTCTTCACGCATACAAATGAAACACAATTTGTACAGAACAAAATAAATAAATACTTATGTTTGTTTAGTTTTAGTTTTAATTATGTGTATCATATACCTCCTCTTCGGACGATTCTTACATCATTTTATACAAAGACTGCTGTCGCTCCCTTGGACAGCGCTAATGATTGGTTGCAGAATATTAAAATTATTTGTTAATGTTTTCTCTGCAAATCAAACTTGTTATAAAAATTTACATACAGGTATTCAGAATATCAAACCGACCTGAAACTTGATGCCGTTCAGAGAAGGTCTGACAGGGTTGATTGATGACACTTCCTTATCTTAACGATCTAATTTATACTACATAACCAATCTAACAGGAAGTGGAATGCGGGTAACTTCGACAACCCCCTGAATTATAGCTACGATCTTTCAGACAGAGATAACGTTAATAGGGGTTTTTAGTATCCCTTTACGCCAAACCAAAAAAACGTTGGATAACCACTCAAAATCACGTTGAAAAGAATCTTATTTGGCATACTCGTATGTACGTAGTCAAATAAGTTGACTCTGCACAACCCCCGCCTCGCTGTTTATAAAGGATTATTATATATATATATATATATATATATACAGGGTGACTTCGAAGTTGAGTCATTTACTTTAACAGTGAGTATATCTGATCAAAAGAAATGTTTTTTCCTTTAACATTTTTCTGGTAAAATTAAAGTAACAAAGTTATAGCCCTTTAGAAGTTTGAGTACCGCCCTGTCTCAATAATAATATTATGTGCTCGTGTTTGGCAACAACGGATATAATCCGCCTTATCGCTTCATCGCATCGGAAACAAAAAAGCGAAAGAATTTGAAACGCTTATCACGATGTTTTTACTACAATTTTGTAGTATGTTGTATTCGGTCAATGTGTCAGTCGGTAACGCGTGAGTGAATAGTGGTGTTTGTTGCGTGGCTCAAACGAAATAAAAAATAGCACATGTTTATGAAAATGCTCAACTTGTGGACATGATTCTTATTTACGGGAGGGGGGAGTCTTTACAAAATGCTGCCGCGGCATCGCAGATTTATGCGGATCGGTTTCCCAATCGAGTGCAACCAACCCCTCGTGCCTTTGTTAATGTAGTACAAAGGGCTCGTGAATCAGGTGACTTAAGACCTCACAGGGGAGGACATGCCAGATGCCGGTGCTCCAAGACCGCACGATCAAGGTCCGCCCTGAAATACTTGTCGGGAGGATACTTTATAAAACCAGGTAATATTTTTTTGGATTTTTTTTTATTTTTACACACATATTTTGGTTTATCTTCCTTCTACAATCATTATCTGAAAATTAGTGACTCAACTTCAAAATCTGTATATAACGTATATTTATATCCATCCGACAGAAGACACAAATTGCAAACACAGTTTGGATGAGTAACCCTTGCCAACACATCGTACAGCTTGTGTCAGGTTTAGTTTCTATTTCTGTTGCGCTCGACGCGGGTATTTAATATGTACCGGGTGTTTCAAATTCGATGCTCACCACTGAGATCCCGGAAACTGTAAGAGATACGAAATCACTTAAATGGAGACAAGGTTGAGTATTTAGGTAATTAACTATTCGCTCTGCAGCCCCGTAGTTTCACCGTCACTGGACCGATTTCCGAAAACTACATTTCTTTAGCGGACAGCACGGGTATTACGTATCTTGAAAAGTGACATTTTGTCGTTTTTTGAAATTTAGTAGGCATTTGTGACATAACGTAGGTTTTCTACAAGATGCTAACTTAGCACAAGCTGCTTGTTGTAAATTTGTTGTGAACGCTTTTTGTAGCTGTACGTGTTGCTTAAACGTCACCGAACAGCAATTATAGCGAGCAAACGTGGAATTAATATTTGCACACTAAAAACTACCTTATACAGGGTGACTTTGAAGTTGAGTCATTAATTTTCAGATAATGATTGTAGAAGGAAGATAAACCAAAATATGTGTGTAAAAATAAAAGAAAAATAAAAAAAAAATTTTACCCTGTTTTATAAAGTATCCTCCCGACAAGTATTTCAGTGCGGACCTGTATTTGATCGTGAGGTGCCCTGTGAGGTCTTAAGTCACCTGATTCACGAGCCCGTTGTACTACATTAATAAAGGCACGAGGGGTTGGTTGCACTCGATTGGGAAACCGATCCGCATAAACATGTGCCATTTTTTATTTCGTTTGAGCCACGCAACAGACACTATTCACACGCGACTGACACTGACTGTATGTATAACTGAACTGAATGAAATAAAAACATCGTTCCAAATTCTTTCGCTTTTTTGTTTCCGATGCGATGAACCGATAAGGTGGATTATATCCGTTGTTGCCAAACACGAGTACATGATATTATTATTGAGACAGGGCGGTACTCAAACTTCCAAAGGGCTATAACTTTGTTACTTTAATTTTACCAGAAAAATGGTAAAGGAAAAAACATTTCTTTTGATCAGATCTACTCACTGTTAAAATAAATGACTCAACTTCGAAGTCACCCTGTATGTATAGTCTGCACGATGACGTTTCGTCGGTTTTTTTAACGTTGGATTTTTTACCCTTGGGGTCAGACAGTCAGACCGACGGAAATGAGTAACCTCGTTTTACGTGATGTACATGTCACACAATATACAAAAAACATATTATATCATTTTCGCCACCAATGGCGTAGGAAGTAAAGTGTCAGTTAGGAATGAAATATTTTTTCAAGTGGTCGAGTCTCAAAAGAAACTTGCAGCATGGCTGAAAAAGAACCAAATGCTACCCTCTTCTTTGTCCCACGCCTTCTCAATTCAGTGCTAGAAAATGCAAGCAATTCATCCTCGTCCTGTACCTTTCTATTTTTTGACATCAAGGGTCTTTCCTATCAAGAGTGGCGTTCGATGGGATGCATGTTATTTGTCAACTTGTGTCAACACCAACGGCTAAGTGCTGGACCCAACCTTGCTTTTTAAGGAATTCTATCCATCTGACCTTCTTATTTCGTACATTTATTCACTGCTAGTAGATTCTTTGGATTATTTATACAACGCATTAGGACTAAGTGGAAGGAAAAAGTCAAGGATTTGTTTGTCTTCTAATTCTCATAGTCTGCAGTGAGGGTCAAAGTGACATAAGCTAGTTTTTTGACAGTTCTGTCATTATATTAGTAGTTTTAGTGTTATTTTTTAAAAGTGCGGGTGTTTGCAGATAATCATATTGTTAGACGATTTCAAGACACCTTACTCCTTACGTAATTTGCAACGAGCAGCACAAGAGTAATAAAGGTAGACGTTTACACCGGTATTATCATTATGTTGATCCAACGCTGTCACTTTATTGTAGGCATTGGTAGACAAATGAGTCAAAAGTATGCATAACAACGCAATTTTAGCGACAAACAATGCAATGCAAACATATAGACTTGGCTCCTTGTAATCTATTCGAACTTGTTGGTTCCTGCTGTCAAAAGTGTCAATTGCCAAAAGGTCTTTTTCGAGCTGAATACTTTTAGTTAGAGGGTGAAGATGTCATCTTATTCTTGTACAGCACCAAATGTTGGAATCAGCTTTATGGTCGACATGATGCAGGAAATCGGATTAGTAACGCTCAACGCTCAAGTCCTCTCACAAACACAGATGCTATCTGTCGCTGGATAGATCGGGACGGTGACATACGCAGATTACGGGGATACCTGCTTGACTACACATGTAGGTCATCGTCAAAATACCCCAGGGGTTAACACTCGCTGTTTTCTCCATAAAAGACTTCAAACATTTCAGCTTTATTACTTTAGAGCGAGAAAGTAGAAGAAACGCTCGATGAAGTTGATGAAGAGTCTAACAGTTTAATATTATAGTGCAGGGAAATTAATCAATAGTAGCGATATCCAACTTTGCTCCTGCTAGGTGGTTGAAGGTCAAACTCTCAAAAGTAGATGGGAAAAATGCAAATTGGATAAGAGGTTTACAATCGTAAAGATAACCGCTAACCTATTTAGATCCACCTACTTCTAGATTTCTAACTTACTATCCATTGTCAAGTCAAGTGTACCCACGTACAGAGCTTCTTAAAGAGGTTCTTCTAGTTTTTTTAACCAGTCAAGCTAACAAGCTGAAATTTGGCGTGACGAAATTGATGCATGAATACTATAATTTAACGTAAATGTGACAGAACATTTCAGGATGACAACTCTCAACTTTGACCACTCGCGGAGTATCAATAGAGTCTTGAAGACGCTCATCGTGAAATAATATCACTCAATCAATCAATATGTTATTCCCAGGACTATTATAAATAGTATAGGAACAGTCACATAATAGCAAAACAGTTCACATTATATGTTGATAATAACAGGCATGACAACATAGATATATTAAGGAACATATACATATATATATATATATATATATATATATAAAGAGAAAATAATCATGCGGAGAAATGTATATAACAAAAAAATAGGAAAATAATGGGCAAAATCCGCAAAAAGGAGGAAAGTGCATTCGAGCAGAAAATAGGATAGGTAACCAGAGCGATACGTATTTCTGCTGGTTGGCTTCATCAGGCCCGAAATAAATGCACATAAGCAACTACAAAAGTAGATACACATGCTCATACATCCGGATACGGGTGTAACCTGAGGAAATAAAGATGGATGGGAAAAAATCACACGAAGTCCACAACAAGAGCCAACCTACACATTGTAGTATAAAATAGCTAGAAGACCTCGAATTTTCAAGGCGACATCTAGCCACAACCACGCGACCGGTTGTAGCAACTTGCTGTGGTACATCAAGCCCAAAGGATCTACAAAGAGAAAATAATCATGCGGAGAAATGTATATAACAAAAAAATAGGAAAATAATGGGCAAAATCAGCAAAAAAGGAAGCTCATTTTGCCGGCGGCCAGTAATTTTACACACCTATCAGTACATATTTTAAGCATCAAATATTTCCCAAAACATTTCTCCTCATAAATTACTAGACGAGAAACGCGGTTTGTCGGGACGATGCGATGCAACGGCGACTTTCACACGCTGAACCCCACTTTGCGTCTGACAGCATCGCCGACAGGGATGTTATAGTGGGTGGCGCTGACGTGGTTTTGAGTGGTGTAGTCGAGCAGCGTTGCAAATGGATGGGGACTATAGAGTATATATGTACTAATGTAGTACATACTACGCGCCCATATACTAGTATAGCTCAAAGGAACTAACTTGGGATGAACATCAAATATTGGTTGGTATGCTTAAATCTACGTTCTCACGGAGCAAAAAGATGACAGCGAGGCACACCTTCGATTTTGCTTTCGTGAGTGGGGAGTGAAACGTGAACTAGCGAGGGTCGTGGACTGTTCACATAGTCACGATTCAGTTCATTCCTTGATGCCATCCATGAAGGAACTTCTGATTTAGAGTTGTGCAGTAAGGAGTGCAGTTTTGAGTGTTATGTTAGAGAAAAGGTTAATGGAGCCTCGCGAAGAGTTAAAAAATTGGAAGAAAAGGTATTGTTTGGTCATCACCGTGTATTAATTACCATATGACTGTTCGTTAGTGAAGAGTCATCGATTAGTCGGACTGTTCTCCTCTGAACCGTTTCGAGAATGTATAATGTAGTCGCGACGGCAGCACTCTAAGCATGTGAGCAGTACTCGAGGCTGGGTATTTTGTGAGCGAGAAGGTTATGTAGAGAAAAGTACTTCTTAACCGCCAAACAAATAGCCTAGCTTTTTCTCAGTAGCTGCCGAGATTGATGGCTCTATGGTAGAACTCGGCCATCCATCAAAACCGGATTCAGATTCAGATTGAACTTTATTTTACACTTGACTGTACAACAGTGTAGGAAATTGTCAAACAAAAAAAAAAGGAATACAAAACTATAAAACAGCAAAAGCACATAAGAACAAAGAAGAGGCATAAAATGAGATGCTCAAAACAGTCATAGTGAAAACAGAACATGTTTGTAATTTGAGCTGAAAAAAATCGTCAAGGGTATCTATAATTCGAGTGAGAAACCAAAAAATCTTCAAGACATCTCGCGAAAAGTTGGATTGTCGAATTGTCTCTAACTGAAGTTGGTAGGTGATTATAAACCCTGACACCTAGCCTTGCTAGAGGGATATGCAGTTTATCTTTATATCTTATATTGCTAAGATGAGTATCATAGTTTATTTTGATTTCATTCTATTTTTATAGATGGAAATACTGATTTCATAAATATAGAGGCAGTCAAGAGTAAGACTGTTGAGGTTCTTAGACACAACCCTACACGATGTTGTGTTTGAGATACCAGGAATAACCCTAATATTCTTTTTTTGTGAGATAAATACTGAGTTTACACAGGTCGGTATACCGGATTTCATACCTTAGTCTGCTATTAACTAAGGTGAATGAGTTGACTGCTAGCAAATAGAGTTTTCAAGTGACGAAATATATAGACATAAGAGTTTAAAGTATTCAAAAGGAAGCCCAAGTAATTTAATAGCTTTATTTTTTGCTTTTGGTATGGATGGTTGAGCGCTTCTTGTTAATAAAAGAAAAGTATTGTGTTTTGGGAGCATTAAATTTTACCAAAATGTTGCGTCCCCAAACACTGATAATCTCCAATTCTTTAGTTTCTACTAATCTTCTTCTCTCCAGCTCACCGATAAAAATCGGCTTAGAACTATCAATTTCTGCATATAGAGTATAGAGAATAGTGGTCATCTGTTATAAACCATGCGTTATACCAAACAACATTTTCATAATTGCTCAGCTCTCAGCTAAACTCCCTGTTGATTCGGCTGTTGTAGCAGTTCTTCGAATTGCGTGGTTAATATAATCGCCATCGAACAACACGCCGGCAATAACATGTTATCCTCTCTCAATATTTTGCTTGTAATTTCAGTGTTTTCAAGCCTGGAAAACACACTGCATCAATTAATTTTAGCTAAAATGATTCTGGTACCGTAATACGCCTGGCAGGTATGTGATAATATTGGATAACGCCAGAGCTTTGGGATAAACTCGATTTTAGATTGACTGGCCAACAATACAAAATTATATCTGTAACTCTCATTCTAGGTAGTCAAATCTCACTAAATTTGGGTCGAGAAAAACAAATACTGCTATGAAATATTTCAAGAGCTCTTATTTTTAAGATACACAGCAGCTCACATCGATTTAAAGATAAATCGAAGATCATGTGTAATTTTCAATAAAGTAAAATGAAAAATATTTTACAAAGAAAAAATAATGTATAATAAAGTAATAATATACAATAGTCTATTCGTATCGACGTTTTCTACTGACTATTTGTACTTCGAATCAGGAGCATCTCTTGCAAGAATGCAGTAGTAGTCGGCGAATACTGATGGTGTTCACTATGCTCATCACGTAGAGCTCAACAGTTTTTAGAGAAAAAATCAAGATGAGAGTAGATGAAATGCATTTTTAGAGACCTCGGAAAGGACTGTAACTTATGGTGTGCCCCAAGGAACAGTTTTAATCTCTTAATTAAATTTAAATTAAATAATTTACTGAGTAAGTCAACACCATACTTAGCAAGTCGCAAGGCACAATAACATGCTCTGCAGATGATACAGCAATTCTTTATTCTGATAACAATTCCTGGGATAGACTCAAAGAAATTGTTGAAAATGGTCTAATATTAATTGCCGATTGGTTTAGGCACAAATATTTAACAATCAATTTTCAGAAAACCATGTAACATTGTATCTTTACAAATCAAATGTGATAATACCAATACTGTCACACATTCATCTGATAAAACAAAATATTTAATATTTACGTGTCTATTTGGATGTAGTGACTAATTTAAGACGATTATTATTTAAGATCACGTACCTCAGTAAAAATTTATTGGATGTCGCCTCAGTTATGCCTTACTAGCTTGCCGTGGTGCACCTACCAAAAAAAAATAATCAGTTCACCTGATGACGATTGAAAATCACATCAATCGAAACGTCGTGAAAGACAAACTTTATAGGCAATCGAAGTCCGAGAAACACCATTACTACATACTTACCTAAACACATTTTCCAGATAATTTTGGAACCCATAGTCTGATTTGAATGAAATTTGGAACACATGTTTTTGTTTTGCTAGAAGTTCTTATATTTGACTTTCACGAAAAACGGTTCTATACGGGTGAAAACTACTCTCACCCTACATGAATTACAGCAGAATATTTTCGCAACTTTTCCAACGACTCTAATTTTTTTTATTTAAAAGATCCTTTTATTTACTTCATTTTTTGTCTTTTCTTATTTCATCAAGGGTTAAAATCTAGTAGGCATCTAGTTGGCGCAAATGTGGGAAGTTTTAGCAGAGTCACGATTATTTTTGACAACAAGCTGCAAACATTTTAAATTAATAAGTAATGTTTGAGTTTATTTTAAATGTTAATTTGTTGTTTGTTCTTCATAAATTTTAAATTAATTAACGTTTCATATTATTTTTGCTCAAGTTGTTGTTACTTGTTTTTCTCGTGAATATGGAATATTCTATTGACGAACAGACTGATATGTTGTTAGTACTGACAAAGTCTGATGAAATTAAAGGGAGCCTATCTATCTTCATTTCCTAAAATACGTTTTCCCTGAATGTAAGAAGAGACATATTTTTATTAAATTATGGTGCTTCACATCAATTTGCGCGTGTTGTAACAAATAACTTGAACGAGAAACTTGATGGTAGGTGGCTTGGTAGTGGTTTTGCTATTTTTTTATATGGAGAGCATTAAAAGCAAAAATTCAGATAGACAACGCCAATCAACTGTGGGGCATTATTGAAAATGCTGCAAATGCATTAAAGAATAATGACATATTAGAGAAAGTTGACTATAATTTTTTGCGCCTTATTGTTATGTGCAGGAACAAAAATGGTGGGCAAATTAAACAACTTTTATGAAAGATTCGCACTATTGCATGTATCCAATAAAACTGTAATAAGAAATATCATATTAGTTTATTTTCGCTAGATACACTTAAATATACTCAGCGACATTAGACGTGTTACACCCAGAAAAAATAATTTCTTCAACTTGAATTTTTGACAATGAGGTACTCTTACATCAAGAATGAAACGATAACATTCTCATGAAACTTTATTGACAAGTAATCAGAAAAACATTAATAATGTGTTGGGCGATCCCGCAGGTGAATACACTCCTGTATACGTTCAGGCATCGGCAAAATGAGATGATCTATGTCTAGTTGTGGCACCTCATTCCAAGCAACTCGAACTTCATGGGTTAGCTGCGGTAGAGTCTATGGAGGATGGTGCAAAGTGGTTAGTCTCCTTCCCATCATATCCTACACATGTTCGATGGGATATACAGGGTTATCCAAATTAAGTGTCCACCATTAGTAACTTTGTTATTAGTGAAAATACAAAGTTGTTTGAATTAGCAAACTAGTAGCATTTTTAACGCTGGTAAAAATGAGAAATAAAAAAAAACAATTGAGAGTCGTTATTTTGATTTTTTTCAGTAAAATAACATTTTTTTAAATGGAAACCCCTGTATATTATATTTTTTTCTGTTAAAGCATCAAATTTTAAACAAAAAAGCTTACAATAACTTTTCTCCTAGGTTACAAATTGTTGAAGTTATGGCCTCCAATCTGAAACAATTAAATTGTATCGACAAACTTTATTTTCAACATCAACTTATAATCTTACAAAATACAATAACAATTTTTTTTAAAGAAGATGCTCGAAAACACCACTTTGTTCTTCAATACATTTTTGGGCACGTTTTTCAACTGCTCGAACTGTCTTAAGTATGGTCCTACCATCTATCTGGGTTATCTTTTCCCTAACTGCAGTCTTTAACGCGTCAAGGTTATCGTACCTTCGCTTGTAAATTTGGTTCTTTAAGTAACCCCACAAGAAGTAATCAAGTGGGTTTAGATCTGGTGATCTGGGAGGCCACTGTATTGGGCCATTTGTTCCTATCCACTGATCATTAAAAGTAGTACTTAGAAAATGATAAGTACCTCTGGAGTTGTGGGCAGGTGCGCCATCCTGCTGAAAATGCAAATGATGTCTACTTATAAGATCCAATTCGTCTAAGAAATTAGTCAGAATTTCTGACATAAATTCCACATATCTTTCACCAGTTAGGGTTCCCTCATAAAAGAACGGGCCAACAATTTTTGAACCAATTATACCGCACCAAACGTTGAAACTGAAACGGACTTGTGGGCCTCTTGGATGTACTAACAAAAGATTTTCTCTTGACCAATAATGGTGGTTTTTTCTATTAAACATTCCAGAATTTGAAAAATTTGATTCATCTGTCCATAAAAGGTAACGAAAGTTATTTACATTTTGGCGACAGAAGCTAAGATACCAATGGCAAAAAACAAGTCTTCTCTCTGGATCCCCTGCCAAAAGCGTTTGAACTGGTCGGTACTTATACGGAATAAATTTGTATTTTTTTAAAATCCTTTGAACAGTACCATAACTGAAATTAGAGTCCTTGAGAATATCTGCTATTGAATTCTCACGATAAGCTTCAAAATATCCAATAACTGCAATTTCCGTGGCCTCGCTTATTATGAATTCTTTTTTTGCCCTTGTTTTAGCAAAAACATTTTCGTTGCCCCTAAATTTTCGATAAAGTCTCAGAAAATATCGTTCATACGGTTGAATGCGAGCGGGATATAATTCACTGTAGTATTCTCTTGCTCTCAAGGAGGATTTTCTGCACACTAAATAGCATTCTAACATATCACACTTTTCTTCATGGGAGAACATTTTTCTTTAAATTAATGACACAATAAAGCTTATAAACAAGTATTTACACTAATGTTTGACATTATTTGATTTTATCATTGTTTTCCAAAGCCTTCTAGTTGCGAGTATGTCCAGTTTAACAATTTGTCGCTTATCTTAATGCTGTCAAATCGCGAACGCCATGTTGTTTTCATAGCCGTCTTAATATTATAATACTGCAAATAATTAAAAATATTTATCGTTATTTTGACTTTATTTTTGACTTTAGCGGAAAAGTCATTATGAACTTTTTTGTTTAAAATTTGATGCTTTAACAGAAAAAAATATAATATACAGGGGTTTCCATTTAAAAAAATGTTATTTTACTGAAAAAAATCAAAATAACGACTCTCAATTGTTTTTTTTTTATTTCTCATTTTTACCAGCGTTAAAAATGCTACTAGTTTGCTAATTCAAACAACTTTGTATTTTCACTAATAACAAAGTTACTAATGGTGGACACTTAATTTGGATAACCTTGTATATCCGGTGAACGGGGTGGCCACTGCAAAACATGCTTCTTGAAGGAAGTCCGTAGTACAACGAGAAATATGGGGACGTGTGGTGTCTTGCTGAAAAAAGACGTGAGGACGTCCCTCTAGATACGGCAGTAAAGTGGTTTGTAGGACATCATCAACATAACGCGCACCAGTTATATTGCCTGTCGATGGACCAGTTGGCCTTCTTCGTGTTCCTATACCTTCTCCTATCCACACACGATACACACGCATTACCGTCAATGCAGTACAATTAACACGGCGGTCAATTTCGCGATAACACAAACTACAATCTCGATAGGCAATAATTTTACCCCTGTCAAAGTCGCTAACATGGTGATAATCTGGACGTCTTCGAACTCGAGGCATTTTGTTATGTTTAACACTAGTAAATGAAAGGGCAATAATGAAAAATATCTGTACTACTCAGCTCTCAGAAACTACTTTCTTCGCAAAAACTACAAATGTAAACAAAAACAAAGATAAAACGTTGACATTGTTGCGACAGCTTGCTTTAAATATAGTCATTATGTTGCCAAAAAAAAGAAGTTGAAGGAATAATTTTTTCTGGGTGTAACATTTCAAATGTCACTGAGTATAATTAATAATACGTTCGGGAACCTCTAGATGCAACTCATTTTTATTTTCTCGAAAACTATCCGAGATAGCAGACAAAAAATGAAGTAAACAAAAATATCTGCTAAATAAAAAAAATCAGATTCATCGGGAAAAAATTCTGCTATGATTTATGTAGGGGTGAGGGTAGCTTTCACCCTTCTCGAACCCTTTACAGAGTTTTTCGTAAAAGTTAAATATTAGAACGTCTAGCAAAACATATATGTGTTCCAAATTTCAATCAAATCAGACTATAGGTTCTAAAAATATGCTTTGAACAAGGTCGCCCTGTTCCTGAAGAAATATATTTGATAAATCTCTTGTTGCTCGTTCGTTACAAGTCAATACACATCGTGCGTTCTCACAATAATTAGGACAGTGACATCCATGCATTTTCCCCTTACTAATAGATTTTCTTATGCCCCATGTGTTTTCTACACTTTAAAGGCGCAGCTCCCAAGAGTCCCGTCGAAACTTCGACAATTTCACCTTTTTCGTATTTCTGTTTGTATTTATTGTTTAGGTGATTTGCGAGCGGTAACAGTCTCATATAAACTGCGCACAACTTACCAATCCCTTTTCCAGTTTTCTACCGGAATTTCCACTTGCGAAATAAACTGCCAGCAGGGGGTAGAGTTAAGATTAAGAATCTAGTGCGCTATTTTACTGCCGAGTCCAGTTTTTCTTTCGCTTGGAAAACTTTATTTTTACGGCCATCATTGTAAACGACCAATAACATTACGACTGTACGGAGTACACAGATGAATAGAATAGGAGATGGTGGTCACAAGATCGACTTGCTCTTATTTATTTTATACAGCTTGGTGTGATATTTCTGAATATTTCTGTGAATGTACAATCTAAAGTGTTTTACTCATTCAAATATAATTCGCGTACATTGTGGTTATGATATCTGCGGCACCCCTCTACGTATTGTTAATTTCCCATTAAAGTAAAACCTTTGTTTTCTGTTATTACGGTTACAACAGAATTCTTATTAAACAGAGTAATGTAATTTCAAATGTCACTGTCTAAAGATGTCTAAAAATGTTGAGTGTTGTGTGACGTTAATTCAGAGAAATAAGATATTCGAATAAGGAAAAAAAACATAAAAACCAAGAGAGGCGTCATCGATCTATTCTGCTAATCAATATGCACCACTCATTGTCTTTTTTGTATACAGCGTGACCCAATCTTCTGTGGACATAGAAGTAACACGTATGTTTACACTGAAGATAAGTCGACTGGACATGATTTACTTCTATGCAAGAGAGATTTGTCTGTCTGTTAGAGGGCGTCAAAGTTTTCTTTTTGAATCACATTTTCACAAATATTTTAAGAACCTATCGTTCGATTTGAATAAAATTTAGAAGTTCTAATATTTGACTTTCACAATAACACGTTCGAGAGTTCGAGATGGGTGAAAAAATATGACCACTTCAGCGATGAATTTCGAGCCTCTGGCTGGTTCAATATGCATGAGTATTTTTTGTTACATCTTGCTTGCTACCCCTTTACCTCCATACCAAATCTTTTGGGAGATCTGATTAGGAGTGCTGAACAGATTTGTTGCATCTACATTGTAAAACTCATTGCCAGATATAGTAAAAAATTCACCCTCACTTAGTGGCTTTCCAAATAGAGTCAAATCCCATGTAAACAGACTACACTAGTTTTTTTTTGAGAAAACACAAAAGCTGCATCAAACACTCAGGGTTATTAGCGGCTGGACGGCAAGATTACAATGATAGGGTACATAGTTACGCACAATATACATATGGTATTAGATAAAATTATAGGTATTGGATTGTTTGAGAAACTGTAGTGTTCGTTCGTAGTACGAGGTGAGGGCTTCCTTTATGGATTTTGGCGTGCAAGCCTGGTTTCGTGTGTCTTGCGTAGCAGTGCACTCTAAGAGTATCTGCTTCACGGTAAGTCTGCAGTCTGGAAGTTGGCAGGTTTGGCATGTTGGGGCTTCTTCGTTGCTGAACATGTGTCACTAGCGTATGACCAATTAGCAAACGGGAGATAATCACTTAGTCGAGTCTTCTTCTGGGCAGACTGAGGTGTTCCGACACACTTGAAATATTTTCCCGCAGTTTGGTGGTTCTGTTCTTCCATTGGCTCTGCCATATAGTACAGATGTGTTGTTTTGCCAGGGTCATCAAATCGGTATGTGGTGTCTTTATTATTTATAAATTGGCGTCGGTCACCGCGGCAGCTGCTGCTCGATCGGCTTTTTCATTTCCGTCTATTCCTACGTGAGACGGTATCCATAGAAATTTCACTGTCTTCATTTTGTTGACTAGTAGGTTGATACATTGCTTTATCTCTTTAAGAATAGGGTGTTGCGGGTATAATTGCTTGATTCCTTCCAGTGCACTCATGGAGTCGGACAGAATAAGTATATTCCTTGTTGCGGTTGCCTCTGCGATGCTTAGCGCTAATTTGGTAGCAGTTAGTTCTCCGGTAAAGATGCTGCTGTGATGAGGAAGAGATGCTGTATTCTTGCTGTTTTCTTGAATTGCTGCATATCCCGCTCCATTTCGCCACTTCGAAGCATCGGTAAAGATTAGCATATGTTTTTTGTAGTGTTCAATTACTTCTCTGTATTTATTTTGGATGACTATAAAATTGGTTTCTCTTTTGGTGTAACAGTTCAATGATGTATTAATATAGGGTAGGCGCGTTGTCCATGGGGGAGAATATAATGAATATGAGTACGTGGTGCTGAAGATTGTTTAGATTGAAGTTGGTGCGAATAATACGCTCTCATATTGGGCAGTCTCTGGAAGAACACTTGACAGTAATGTGGTGAGCAGGATCATCATGGTAGGCACAGCGTAGAGCAAGGTATTCTCTTCGAAGGTGTAACGGGGGCTCATTAGCTAGGACATGGATGCTTTCCACCGGTGAAGTTCTTAGTAAGCCATATGCCAGTCGTATTGCCTTGTGTTGTAAAACTTCAAGTTTTTTTAGAGAACTTTTACTTGCGGTTGTATAGCATATACTCCCATAGTCGATTTTGATTATTAATATAGCGCGATACACTCTCATTAGTGATAAGAAGTCACTTGCCCTAAAAGTATTTGCTAAGACTTTAATAAGATTAAACCTTTTTTGACACGATAATATTAATTTTTTATATGTAGATCCCACTTCAGTTTCGAATCAAGTGTCATCCCAAGAAAAACTATACTGTCAACTTTATGAATTCTGGTGCTGTTCAGAGAGAGTACCATATTGTCAGTGGTGCGTCCAGATTTGCTAAATATAAGGTATTCGGTAACTTATCGCTGGAGAAACGAAAGCCTGTTGTAGCTGCCCATCGCTCCATTTTATTGATTGATTGTTGTATGATGCTTTATCCTGTGGGTAGGTTATTCGTTGGTAAGTATATAACTAAGTGATCTGCGTACATTAGTGCCTTTACTTTTGTCTTAAATAGTTCAATTAATCCATTGATCGTTATTAAAAAAAGTGTGACGCTTAACACGGATCCCTGCGGTATTCCATTTGCTAATGTTCTTTCGTTGGACATCTTTCCGTTGGCTCTCACCGTCGTAGTGCGGTTACTCAGAAAGTTTTGTACGAAACCTAAGAGATGCCCTTTGATTCCCATCTCAATCGCGGATTTTATGATAAGATATCGCCAGGTGGTGTCGTAAGCTTTGTCTATATCGGAGAATACAGCTATAACACTTTGGTTGTTTGCGAATGCTTGCTTGATGGTGGATTCCTGTACTACAGTGTTATCTGTCGTAGACCTCTTGCTTCGGAAACCATTTTGTAAGTTGTTAATTTGTTTGTGTTTTTATAAAAACCGTAATAGGCGTTTATTGAGAGTTTTGTCCATCAGCTTGCACATAGAACATGTCAGCGATATCAACCTATACGAAGCAGGGTTATCTTGAGACTTATTTGGCTTTAGGATGGGGATAGCAATGGCTGTCCTCCAAACGTCAGGGAATTGTCGGGTCACCAGAATCTTATTGTACATGTCTATCAAGATTGATTATTAGTGATTCTTCCAGTTCTTCTATTGCAATAAGGCTGTTTATTGGACTGTTATCGTTCAGTATGGTGATAGTATCTCCTTCAATATGTGACTTGTACTGAAGAAAACAAGGGCTGTAGTTGATTTCGCTAGAGTGAGCTGAGTAGATGTCATCAAAGATTTCTGGGATAGCTGATTTGTCAGATACTACTTGGTTATTGTATTTTATAGAGGTTATTTCATATATTGTTTTTGATCCAGTGATGCTCTTGATTTTATTCCAGGTTTGATGCAGGTGTAGACGAGTTAATAGTCGATACATAGCTTCGCCAGGACTCTTTCTTGCTTTTCTTGATATGATATATGGCTTTTGCTCTAGCTTGTTTAAATTTTCGCAGATTTTCGGCTGTTATGTTTCTTGAGGACATTGAAACAATGTTTGCAGGTGGCTATTGCATTAGAGACTTATTGATTCCACGATGGTACTGGTTGCATGTTACAGGTTTTCGTTTTTCCGACGGCAATGTGGGCGGCATCTTTTATAACGTGAATCAGGTTGTTGATCTCGATATTGATGTCTTCACAGCTGGGAAGTAATAGTAAGCGTTGCTCAACATGCTGTTGGTATTTATCCCAATCAGCTTTATCCAACTTCCATCTTTGTGTAGTAGATGCACAAGAAGCATTATCTTTACTATGGCTAATAGTTATAGGATAGTGATCACTATCATAGAGGTCAGATAGGGGGTTCCAGTGGAGAAAAGGGGCTAGAGAAGGGTCACAGAAAGATAAATCAATGGACGAGAATTTCCCATTGAACGTAGTGCTGCGACGATCATTTAGTTGTATGAGACCATTGTTGTCAAATATGTTTTCTAGCTCCATGCCGTATCTTTCAGAGAAGTCTGATCCCCAGCATATATTATGATAATTACAATCTCCTATTATGATTCTGGGCGTGGGAATTTGTAGCAGCAAAGACTCTATTGCGATAAAGTTTATACCTTTTGGGTGTGGTATGTACGAGTATATATTGTAGATATGTATGGTTGTGTAGCATGTGATCGAAATGGCAACAGCTTCCATATCTGTAGTAATGGGGAGTCTTTTTGCTTGTATAGAGTTTTTGGTGAATATTGATACTCCTCCTGCTGCTCTATCCTGATTTGGTCTATTTTTGTAAAAGCTAGAGTATTTTTGAATGTGTGGCTGTGATTATCATTCTTGAGGTGGGTTTCTTGCAAACAGATTACATATGGGTTATTTTCACGTATTAGCAAGTCGAGCATTTCTTTATGGGTTTAGTACCCGTTCAGGTTCCACTGAATTAGAAACATGAAAAAATCTAGTATGTTGAAAAAGAGACTCCCGAGACTTCGCCATCGGATGATTCTAGATCCTTTTCTTCACTGTTTTTTGATGATAAGTTTTATAGATGTTTAGCTATTTTGTTTCTGATTTTTGTAATTTTTATTTTTGTGCTCCTATTCTTTAAATGTGAGTATAGTTCAGCAAAAAATTGGTTCATATCCGGTATGTTATTTGTGTAGTTGCTAAACGTTGTTGTTATATCTTTGTCCGCTACCTCTGATACGTTTAGCTTGGTTGACGTAAACCGTGAGTTTATGAGTTCCTCGGCGGGTTTCAAGGATTCTTCAGAAACTTTTGATGTTTTGATTCTCTTGGTGGGGGCTTCACTTGATGTAGGCTGGGTGTTAGTAGATATCTGGGATGTTGAGATTTGTGGTTCGGGTCGAGTTTCTTCTGATGCAGAGTTGTCTTGTATGGTTGCAGTCATGTTTAAGCTCAGTGTATTAGTTTTGTTATGTACATTAGGTGAGTCTAATTTCATTCTTGTTTCGGTGTCTTCATTTCTGGGTTGTGATTTGGGACATTTTTCCAATGTATGTCCCGTTTGCTTGCAAAGAGTACAGCTTAGTCCGTCTACGGAGAAAAATATCCTGTATGTTGTTTCCTCAAAGGTAATAGTGGTAGACTCTACGGGTGGTGGAATATACACTTGTCGACGGAAAGTGAGAATGTGATTGTATTCATTTTCCGGCATTCCCACTCGGAGGTAAGTTATGCGGGAGAGTAGCTTCAGGCCCATAGTTGTTAGTAAACTTTCAATAATGTTGTATGGAACAGACGGGCAGACAACAAGTCGTCTTATTTCTATGTCGTGGTCTTGGATCTTTATGGATTTGTGTGCAGTGATTATTTTGTACACGCTATCAGTGTTACTCAGATACATACAGATTCGGCCGTTAGCAATTCTTGATGCGAACAGTATATTTTTGGGCTCTACAATCGAGCCATTAGCAATAATATAATCATGGATTTGTATCCCATCTACTGCCGTTAGGAGAATCGTTTGGTTTTTTGATGGTGTTTTGCTGACAGGCTGCTGTAGGAGTGCACTAGAGTATGATGATAAAGTAGTTGTACTGTTTCTATTATTATCAGGTTGAGTCATGTTGAGATAGTTTTAGTACGAGACTGGTTGAGAAATTCTGGAGCCGGCTCTGGCGGTACTGCTCGAACTCCGCGTGGATCTAGGTGCAGTACGACTGACCGTACCGCACTGGTGTTTGTTTACGTTTAGCGATATCTCTTGCAGTAATGTAAGGACTTCCACTTACTTGCTGGTTTTTGGTGACCGACCTCTTGGTGAGTGTTGGATTGGTGAGTGAACTTTTTAGTAAATAAATCGAACTAATAATTCTCACACATGAAAGAAACTCGCAGAGTACTATCGATACTACTTTCAAGTTAGACAGTCAGGACCGTCCTGATAGTTTGCTTTATTTTTGCTGTTTGTATTAATTACAACTATTATTAATCTGTAAATGCTATGTTGTCCTTTTAGAATAGTATTATTTACGGGGGTTGCATGGAACAGCAACGGTGCTGAATGTCGCCTCCCTCATCAAATGAGTTTCTTTTTGTTTGTACTTTTAATCCAAAAAATAAAGTCACACTATTATTATTATTAATATTATAATGTTGAATCCTGAAAATGTGTTTCTGAAACTGCATGCGGATTTTCTTCAGCGTAACCATATTGTGTATTACGTGGGGTAAAACATGACATCTGTAAACAAAATTTTCTACACTCGGATACATTTTGTACAGATCTCAAACGCGAGTGATATCCAGTAGGCAATAATGTCTGAACAGGCTGAATGTGAAAAGAGCGAATGAGTTGTTCATTTAAAAACCTGTTAACAGTGCTTTTCTGAACTCTTTGTTCATGATCTGACCAGGTATGCGAGTGCTGATACCTGGATCATTTCGACCACTTCAAGAACAGCCTCTTCCACTAGCAGTGTTCGGGTTTGCCGCAGTTTTCCAGCGTTGACTATTAGAAGCTGGAATCGACCAGTTTCTCGAAGTCGGAGTTCTATGCTTGCAAAAATCTGACGATATGGAATTCGTCGAATCGGATATTTCTCTTGATACACGTGAACATCTTCTCAGAAACTAAGCACTAAGAACATATCAGTCTGTTTGTTAAAAGAATATTCCATATTTACCAGAAAAAACAAGCAACGACAACAAATTAACAATCAAAAATAAACTCAAACATTACTTATTAATTTGAACTTGTCAAAAATAATCTGACGCTGATACAGTATCCCACATTTATGTCAACTACTCGTAGATGCTTACTTAATGTAATAAGAAAGTTTTGTAGGAAGCAGCTCCGAAAAACATTTTTTACTGTTTTTATAAGAGACCAAAAATTAAGTAAATAAAAGGATCTTTCAAATAAAAAAAAAATCAGAGTCGTTGGGAGAGTTGTGAAAAAATTCTGATATAATAATTTATGTAGGGGTGGGGATAGTTTTCACCCTTCTCGAATCCTTTCAATTTTTTTTTATGTATAAGTCAAATATTACGAATAAACGAAGCACTTTTAAAATAAAAGTAATGTCCAATCTAATTATTCTGAGTCTAAAAATACGTGGTATTGGTATGTCCACGGAATATTGGGATACCCTGTATAGGCAAACATTTAAGTATTCAGCCTAAAATGTATTGACTGTAATAAAATAACATCTTTTTTGCGGGTATTTCATTGGAATACCACTGAACTGTAGCAGTGAAAATATTTATGTATTCAAGCCTGAAACGTTCTAAGCAATTAGGTGGGCGCGTTTCCAATTCAAATCAAATTTCTGTTTGTACAAGATCTGTAGTGGAAATCGATAATAGCCTGATTGTAAGCCATGAAAAAGGTCGGAAAACAACGGTTGAAGCGTGATCATCATCAAATGCCCGAGTTTATAGGGGAAATGTTTTTATCAAAGAGTTTTGAGCTTAATATGTGCACAGCTGCTGTATCGACGAGTTTTTCTTTGATTTCGATGAAACCAATTATGCCGTTTAA